GTAATGCATCAGACTTATAATGAATGCGCTTATGTGCTGTGGGGCTGGACTCCCTAGTTTCATACGCACGCCCTCCCGATGCACAAACAGAATCGGTGGTGGGATTGAGCTCATTGGTTGGCGCTGCCAGATGCATAAGCGGCAGTGATTATGCACTTGGGCGAACTCGGCGGAGTCGGATAAACGCATACTGTGAGCTAGCCTGAGCCCCCCCCCTTTTTGTACAGTGGAGTCCAGAACGTTGACATTTGCACTGTCCACTTCTGAGTGATTTTTTTTCGGAACAAAAGTGTTTTTTTTTCTTCGACAAATTATGAGCACAATTGGCCCTGAAATCTTCCTCGTTTAACGGGAAGTGCAGTTTTGTGTAAGGCCTTGCGGCCTAGTTTGAGACCGTTGAATCTGGAAACATTCTTCAGGATCATGTTCTGCGCACGACTGACGTGAGAAGTTGGCAGTTTTTGAAAGTTTTGATTTGATTAATACCCTCTGTGAGGGCGTTTTTTCTCCCCTAGTTGGCGACTTCAGTTCTCGTCTTCACTGAATTTCTTTCTTATTCCCTGGAGTCAACTCCTATAGCCTCTTAATTTTTTTTAACCTTCTAGAACCTCACACTCCCACAAAGAACCTCAACGTAAGTCCTCCAGTGTGTTTTTTTTAGCAACAGTGTTCTCTGTTTATTGTACCAAAGCTTACGGTCTTCATATTTATTTAGGAAATGTATTAATTTGTCTGAGGAATCAAAGATGCTTGCTGTATGCACAAATCCTGTATATGGCACTGTTCACTCTGGTGTAGGTAATCAAAGTCCCTCTGTACCTCTCCAATGCTTTTGGGAATAGGTCAAGAAGATAAAGGAGGTTTGACCTCCGAGAAACCATATGTATCTGCGAGAATAAGCTTTAAGTATTAAAATCTGTATTCCTAGTGACTGTAATCTGAGTCATCAGCCCTGTGTCTGTCTCTGTCGTATGTGGTTGCATAGCACGTGGTATGCGGGTTAGTGACCCTTCTGGTGTGTCCAAATGCCAGGAGGGGTTTATAACGTAGTTATCGATTTTGATTAGTTGGTCAGCTTACGTAACTGCTGCCTGGTACTCCTCTTTACGAGTTTCCAGTCTACGACAGTCTACCCGACAGGTATGGTTGAGTAGGCGGTTATCGTACAGGACGTTGTTGACCATTAATGCGGCGTAGAATTGACGGCTGCCGTCTGTACACCGAATT